TTGCTAATAAACTTTCTACGTTTCTTATTTATTTGGTTATATATTATACATGTTTACTTATTTCCAGTTTTGTATAGACTACCTATTTAAACTTTATGAAAGTTATTTATTTTATATTAGGCATAGCATGCCCTATAGCATGGTGTATTTTTATTCGTTTTGTTAATAAAAGTTCAATGTTTTATATATAGGCTAAAGTGAGTTTGATGTTGTATTTTGTTGTTGCATTCAAGCAATTGACGCTGAATTGCCGCTAATTGTGCACAGTGCTTTTAATTAAGCTATTTAAAAGCGAAGGAAAGCGAGGAAAAGAGGGAAAATTCAAACGAACTAAAAACGAACAATTGCTTTATGCCGAATTGCCGCTATTTGAAAGTGAAAGTAAAATGCGCACGCCGCTTTTGCAAGCTATTTAAAAGCGGAGGAAATGCCCCTGCCTTCACGGTGATACTGGTATTATCAGTGTTGTCACACGTCGATTAACCGGTGGGAAAATTTCCTCACCGTCACAAGCCTACTAGTGGCCAATGCAACCTTTCTCATGTTTGTTTAGTTTATAAATACTAAAATTACTAAAACGTATTATTAATATTACACTATATAGACATATTATTAAAAAATAATAATTATAAAAAAAACTACAAATAGCAAAAACGTGCAACAAAATTACTAAAACTTTAAAATGAAAGTGAAAACAGGAAATATAAAAATAAAATCTAATTCAAAATATTAACAAAAACGAAAATAGTATTTCAATGATACTAAAATAACACTGGTGCACAATAAGTTCATTATATCAAATCATTAATTTATATGTTAGTACATAGTACACTTAATATAAAGTGGCTCCAGTGTAACTTACATTTAAGATATTTGTTCTCATGCGCAGATGCCCATCTCTTCTAATAGAGTCACGTTGACATGAGAGGAAGCATGTCACACACAAAATGTGTATCTGTTGGTTGTGTGTTGTTTGGCAGCATGTGAACATGGTGTTCCTCCTCAGATCCTGCAGGCGCTGGGAAAGTCTTACCACCCAGGCTGCTTCCGCTGCGCCATCTGCAGTGAGAGTCTGGATGGAGTGCCTTTCACTGTGGACACAGAGAACAAGATCTACTGTGTGAAGGACTATCACAGGTGAGTTTGTGTGGAGCTGCAGGTCCGTGGCCAGTCACAATTCTTGATTATACGTTTAAGTGTGTTTATTCATTGATGGTTTGATCCGACCTCTTTTTATGTCCAGAAGACTTTTAAGTTCATAAGACTACACTGGCTGTGCCGTGTGTTTGTTTTTATGTGCAGACCACAAGCATAACTCTACAAAAAGAAGTGTTTTCCTGGTATCATTTTTGCCGTACATTGTCTTTTTGAACAAATGGTTTATTTTGCTGTCACTGGAGATTTTGCAGTGGCCTTGTGTTTTCAATCATCTAAACTGCCTAAAATTAGAATTATTGTGAATTCTAACCTTCAATTTCAGATATCATCATATTTTTGTAATAACTTTAAAAGTGAACACAATAAACTACACTCAGGCAAGAGTCAACGGTGTACTGAAGGTTGAAAAAAGTAACTAAATGACTGAACTTTGCTCTCAGGACAAGAGCAAATAGTTAATATCTGTTGTTACTATATATCAAGGGTTTCTTTGTAGCCAAGACTTTGCTTTTTTTGTGCCTATTGAAGTTGACTTTCCTAATTAATCTACCCTGGGAAATACTGATTCAAGTTTAAAGTGTGACAACTAGCCCAGCTACTCCCCTAGTTAGTAAAGTTCATGTAATGATGGCATTTCCTTATTTTAACACTGCTTTTTATTAAAGAACTTTAAATTGACCAAAACTGCAAAAAGGATGACCATATACACTTTGTCCAGATATTATTATTATAGCCCACTGTTGATGGCTGCGCTCCATAAAAATCATGACTTAAGGTCTGCATGCACTGGAAATTGTGACGTATGTATCCGAGTGTAACAACTCCTCGAACAAGAAAAACATGAAGGGCAAGATTTTGTCCATTGGAAATTAATTGACTGTTGTTTGCTAATTGCTGTGTTTCATGTAAATCATAATCTTTAATCAAAATTGATGTGCACCAATAAGTCATGTATAGTATAATAAATACGGCATTCCATTAAAAAATAAGAATTGTCCGTTTTTATTTTATGGTGACTTTTGGCTGGCAAAGCAAAGATTAACTGCAGATGTATAAAATGAGCTGTATATTTCCTTCAGTTGATGGTAGATGTGTGCTATGTGGTGTTCAGCATTCTCCATAATTTCTTCCACAGGCATTTTCCTAGCAGTAGCTTGATGTAATGGCATTTTATTGTGAGTTTTATTGGTGTTGAGGGTGTGTGTGCAAATTCTTCTCATGCATCCTTTGCCTTGAGCAGTGAACTGAGCGATGATTACTGTTGTTCCAAAACCCCAGACAGACAGTCAGGTGGTGACCATATGGAGATGAATTCAAACAGTGCTTTCCCACTCTGTCCTTCTGGGATTGGGCTATTCACAGGCTATTCGAAGAGCCAGCAGATCTGCAGTCTAGTCCAGTGCCTTTCTTCCCCTCTTCTCAATCGACCTTTCACTTCCAAGTCATAGAGTGGCTCAAAAAGTATTTGGGCACACCTGTAAATGATATTTTGTTATCTAACGCAATGACAATCAGACAAAGCAAACGAAAAAAGACGCACTTTGCAAGCAAATATTTAACAAAAATGGGTTTTAAATAACAAATAGACGATTTATGAGAGAGTAGTTGCATTATTCACTTAACCGTTTTGTGCAAAAATACGAATTAATTTCACAACTTTGTATTCCTTTGAAATGGAGAATGGTTAATTCTGCTTTGGCTTTGTTTGAAGTCATTTTAGTTGAGAGAGCAAAATCAGTCTGCCGAAAAGAAAGTAACTGGAAAAATTGTTTCTAAAATAGAACTCACTTAGTATTAACTTGTTTATTGAACTGTTGTATACATGCAATGCCACACTTGAAATTGTGCTGTTGGATCTGAATGTAAATATTGATTTTAAGAACAACAGCATTAAAAGCATTTACTATTGGCTATATAAACCCCATAACCAATTCACCAGTTGGCTAACATTTATTGCAAAAACGGTTAGTTCTGAGAAAAGATCTAACATCATTTGTTTGAAGAAGACCGTTTTTTTGGTATTTTATGTAATGTAATGGCATTCACACATTTTAAGTGTGGCTAAAGTGCCCCTAAGTATGCTATTGTACTCTGGATAAAGAGTCATGCTGATATGACTTTAATTGAAAAAAACATTTAGTGGATGATCTGTGTGATTAGTATTCCTTCTCTTTTCATCTTCAGAGTTCTTGCACCTAAATGTGCAGCATGTAATCAGCCGATCCTGCCCTCTGAGGTAAGACACCAATTCAGCCTGAACTCCATAAACTCTCTTCATATAGAAACAAATCTCATTTGACTGTACCCCAGGACCCCAGAAAATCACTTGGAGTCTGAAATTTAGTCAAGCCGTATTCTCAGCCTGTGTCATAGAATCCGCTTTCTCTGTATTAGAGCCTCGTGTCACAGCACTGCCGATGCCAAGATGAGATGGTAATTTGTTATTTGTCCCATAACAAGCAAAAAGACATCATAAGGCTAGATAGGCATATGATGTCTTTTTGCTTGTTATGGGACAAATGAACCAATCAGAGCATGGGAATGTTCTACCGAGAAGACCTTTGCTTAAACTATGTAGAACATCTAGGTCATTCCAGAACAGTTAAACCTTCTTTAGGCCTGTTACTGAATGTAATTCTGTTAGCACTGATGAAGGAGTGATTACTACTAAGTTAGGGCATGTGTAATTTGTTAAAGTCACCCCCCCCGGTCTATAATTAGAGACGACCCGCGAGGCATGCTGCTCTCCAACACCAGCAAGAGCTCAGTTATCTTGCACCTGCATGGAGGCTCTTATGAGAAACTCTACAGGAATTCCTCTTCTCTGATCACAGCCGAGTGTACTGTAACATTAACACTGCTCACAGCTGAACCATCGCTTTACCCAGAAAAGATCAGAAAGCAAAAAGGAATAGTTCTCTCAAAAATGACGTGACTTTTTTTCATAAAACAACAGTTAATAGTGACAGTGACTAAATAATGACAGAATATTTATTTCTGGGAAAGCAACAATAAACATTAACCAACCCAGGCTCATGGGAAATATGTGACTCTGCCTACATTTCTGCAAAACTCCAAAAACGCACCTGCATTATACATTAAATTCACTACAATTTCCAGCTGAAATGAACACTAGAGGCAGTAAAACGCCAACAACCTTTATTCCTTTTCACACAAATGTTGATAACAAGGGCAGATAATTGATTAATGAAGACTGCATGGTTCACAATATTGCACAATACTATATTATGACCTCAAAACACTTTTACTAAATTGCATGATTTACCATGATACCTTGTGTTCTCCCATAGGAATCAGATGAAACCATTCGAGTTGTTTCCATGGACAAGGACTACCACGTGGAGTGTTATCACTGTGAGGTGAGCTTAACTTTGGAGATGACGATAGTAATACAGTCAACACTCAATGGTGTTATCTGTGCTGATTTCTTGTTCTTCTCAATGGTTAATGCGAGTAAAGAAACCTTGTTGTTGAAAAACAAATCACCACTTCCCCTTGAGGCCTGCATGCCTTGACATGTGATGTTAATAAAGATCTGCTCATGTCTTAGAACTGAGGAGCATGATTTTGAAGAGTCATGTGAGTGTGAATCTCTTCCCACAGGACTGTCATGTGGAGCTGAATGACGAGGAGGGTCACCGCTGCTATCCTCTGGATGGACACCTGCTCTGTCACGCATGTCACCTCAAACACACAGACCCTGCCGCCTCACCGTCTACAGCACACAACTACCACAGTCAGTTTTAAACATCTGCCACCCCCTAGTGGGTGTTCAGAGACATCACCGTTTGCCAAAGACGCTCAGATATTGCATTGCCAAAAATCACAACTGAGATTGAGATTACAAACTGTGTGACACATTATTATTATATATTGTATTTTGTCTGAATTATTTACTTTAAGGTTTTGTTGTTTTTGAGATTTGCATTTATTCATATTTTATTAGTTTGGATGCAAAAGAAAATAGTTGAGCCTTGCTTGTATAATTCAAATGCTGTAAACAATGAGCCACTGGCTTATGCAAAAATACTGCTACAGATTTTTGCAAGTAGCGCAACCATTACATATATTGTTACAAAACTTCATCTGAATTTCTCAAATGGCACCCTAATAGTGTATAAACATTTATTTAATTAAAACTGTGCTCCGTGATTAAAAATTTTTTTTGTTTTTTTTGGTGATGTTATTGCAGACATGCCTAATACACAGTCAGCCACGATTTATTACACAACTGAAATTATCCAATAACAAGAATCTTTTTTTAATGAGGAAAAAATGACAGTGCACCTTTAACAGACCAAATCAACAGACATGCCTATTTATGAATGTATATTTATGATTATAAGCCCCCAGTTGCATGAACATTAGGTAGTAAGCTTTTAATTTTGTCTAATGCTATTTCCTTTTAACTGACAAACGTGAACATTAATTGTTTAAATCCAAAAGCTAATGCAGATATTTGTGCGAGTGTACTGACTTAAGGTCAGTTTGATTTCAAATGACAGATCATCATTATTTATTTTATAAAAGTGTGAGTTTTATTATTCAGTCATGCAATCAAGTGCATTTTCACAATTCACAAGGCTGTTATTTCAGACCTAGAGCTTCTGTTAAAGTCCTTCATTGTTTGTACATTTTGTTCAATCAAGATTTGGTACAATATAACGTTGGGTTGTTTGCCAAGTTTGGTGAATCGGATCAAAAGCTATTCTTGAGAAATTCACAAATGTAACTCCAGCTTAGCTCAACTATATATTGTTTAAAGGTAATTATTGGAAATACTTAGTAAATTATTTATACGCCTGTTGTTTCGATTGTTTTCACAGGTTAAGCGGTTGATTGTGTACACTGCCTTATGCTCTCAGATCTCCCTCAGTATTACTTATTTATCCATCTGCTCCTATTATAAATTAGGATGTGATGCATTTAATTATTTGATTTATTTGTTTTCTCAGAAGGATATACCTTTATTCCATATATTATCACCCTCTTGCCACATAAAATATTGCAAATATATATATATTTTTTTTTAACCTATAGTAGACTAATCCAGAACAGCAAAGTGTTACAAATGAACTGAATTGCTGATTATTTCTAGTAATTTACTACATGTTTAAAGCAATTTACATTTCACTTAAATGAACACATCCAAATGGTGATGCAGAGCCATAACACAAACAATGAAATAAGTAAATCCTACACACACACACACAAAACATTAGTGAGAATATTTACATACAACCTACTTTTTTTTAATGCAGAGGCTCCTCCACAGTTATACTGAGCTTCACAGGTAAGATTCTGAGAGGGAAATCTGTACAGCTGCTATAGAGAAATGGATAGACTGCTTCTGTAAATGTGCTGGTGAAAGTGCACAGATGTTTTTTTGTAAGAGGATCAGAGAATGAAATATTTCCTCCGTCCCAGTCCAGCTGCACTCTGATCACCTTCAATCGATTATCAACATCTAAATGCTTGCGGGTCGTCAGTGGTGACTGTGTAGTGTACTGATCAGCCATATAACGCACGCGCCACACTCCAGAGTCAAAGAAAACTTCTCCTTTTCTCTGGTTAGATGCTGTGGTTACTCCAACAGACCAGCATGTGTTGTTTTGGACCTCCACATCCCAGAGGTGTGTTCCAGAGTTAAAGCCCACTGAACCCAACACACAGTGATGATAGTCAAATCTCTCTGGATTTTCTGGATACTGTTGTCCATCAGCGCTGAATTTGACATGGGTCAGATCATCAGTCAGGAACAGCAAAGGATATGCAGTGTTGGGGTCCAGTGTGACCGGAGCTGATGAGAATCATCACAAGACAAAGCTTGACCATTATTAGGCCTCATTGATGGTGGAGACACACCGATCACAAAGCACAGAGATAACCTCTAGACTTAATTAAGAATCAAATTCATCTTACATATTAATTTTGTGTTTGTTAGCATTTAAATTTAAAGTTAGATAATTTCAACATATTACTAATAATTGATTAATTTAAATAACTAATACTGCATTCTTCTTGGAAATTTGCTGAGGCCCCTACTGGACCCCGGTTGAGAATCACAGCACTTGACCAATAAACTTAATATATTTAGAGCGCCGTTTCAATAATTTATCTACTAACCCTTAAAATCTTAGGTCTGACAGTAAAATATGTAATGATAAAATATTTGTCATAAATTCATTTGAGCATTTGAATTGATTAAAGATGATAGAAAAAAATAGCCAATGTGCAACTGAAACAGCCTTTGATTTTGTACATTTTATTGTACTGTCTTTATTGTAACTTTTCTGATGTTAGCGGGCATGTTTACACAAATCTACATAATTATTTAGGTGTGTATCTTAAAAAAGTTTTAAATGTTCTTTTGTTAAATAATTTTTGTAATATTAGAAGGATGCACATTTATTCCATCACCCGCTCACTAAATAAAATATTGTAAATATAGTTGTTTACCTAAAGTAGACTCACCCAGAACAGGTTTGCACCATGCAAGTGGTACAAATGAACTGAACTGATGATTATTTCAAGTAATTTACTTTACTTAATAATGCTTGAAACAACTCATATTTGACCTAAACTGACACTTTACGTCCAAGTGAAAAAACACACACACACACACGTAAATTTTGCACCAAAAAGCACATTATAAGTGAATTCATTCCGATTGATGAATCTGAATGTAGTGTTTACATGAACGCTAAAGAAAGTGATCGGGTTGATGTGCGTGTTTATATGTCACAAGCTTCAAATCGGAATTGATTTTTTTTTTACATGCGCACACTGCACAAATATAGAGTTTCTCACTGTTTGCACATAATAACCACTCTCCTACACAGTTTATTTATCTGTTTTTAACAGCAGAATGAATGTTTATTAATTTATGGATAAATATATATAAATAAACCGCTGTGCCGTGCTGCTCATATTTATATCACACAGTAAAAAAGCCCAAAACGGGTTGCCTGTGGATGAGAAACCAAAACATGGACTGGTGAGAGGTTGTCCTGCTCCACTTCACAGTTGCCGAGTGAAAGGAGAGTTTTATAATGACATATAATGATATATTCCTTTATTCAAAAGGAAGAACCGCTCGTTCCACGCGTCATACGTCATTACGCTATTTCTTCATCATTGCACATGCGCAGTTCTTTCAGTTTCGGGGTTCAATCCGATCGAGTGTTTACATGCACTCTCAATCGTATTAGAAAAGGAATAAACCACACCCTTCAATCCGATCGAAATTTCATTCCGATTGAACTCAGTCGGATCGATTAAGGTGTTTACATGAAGGTTTTTCAGTCCGATTGAGCCGTCAATCCGATTACAAATGGATTATTTGGTTGCATGTAAACGTAGCCAGTGACTCTTGGGAGCTATGCTGGTGGGGGCCAAGCCCCTCGTAGGTTCAACCAAGCCGGCCAGTTCCTAGGGTAGAAGCCAGACCAAAGGCAACTGTTCCTCCAGGCTGAGGGTTGGGCATGGGGCTAACAACCCCATCCCATAAAATCTATATTGGTGCAGAAACATCAACGACTGTCCGAACAACCAATTGGATTGAGCCAACTAACTGGCAGTATAACTACTCCTGATGAAAGTCACCAACAGGAAGTCAGGAGTATGAAAGATAGTCTACTAGGGTCCAAAACTAGTATCCGTGTTGGAGCATGGAATGTCTGCACTATGTCTGAAACATCGAAATCAGCTTAAGTTAGAAAAGAGACAAGGAAATAGAGACTGGACATCCTAGGTGTCAGTGAATGCCGATGGGCAGGATCCGGACGGCAAGTAACCAGCAACGGCTATGTTATACTTTACGCTGGACATGATGGCAGACATGAAAACTGTCTAGCCCTTATAATCACAAAAGAGAAGGTTAACACCTTGCTAGAAGGGGAACCTCTAGACGCTTCAACTCCAAACACTGTATACCAACCATCATCCAGTGTGATGCACCAACAAATGATGCAGAGGAAGAGGCCAAAATGACTGGTATGGGAAACTACAGCAAACAGTCTCTAAGGTCCCTCAACATGACATGCTCTTGACCATGGGAGATATGAATGCAAAGGTTGGGGCTGAAAATGCAGAGAGAAAAAGAGCTATGGATCAACACAGATGTGGAGTGATGAATGACATTAGTGAGCGTCTTGCTGACTTTTGCCTTGACAATAACTGTGTGATGTTCCCGCCCAAAGATATTCATAAGCTAACATGGAAATCACCTGACAATATCACCGTCAACCAGTTAAATCACATCATAATCAATAATGTGGCAAAGATCCCTTCAAGATGTCAGAGTTGTCGTGGTGCCGATGTCAATAATGACTACTGTACTACCTACTCATTGCCTCCATCAAACTAAAACTGTGGAAAGCAGCCAACATCTAGATATTGATAAGCCGAAATGCTCAAAAGTTATCAAAGTATTCACCACCAAGTTAAGAAACCAGTTTGCTTTCCTGACCAAAGAGGACAGAGATCCAAGCACTAACACCAAATGGGAATCCATCAAGACAGGTACCAGTGTCCTGGGCTATAAAAAGAAAAATATCAAAAAGAGGATAGCGCCTGAAACCTGGCAAAAGGAACGTAAAGCATTAAGAGCCAAGATACTGGCCATTCAAATCACCAAGACTTCTTGAAAGGGCCCAGGAAGCCAGGTCAAGAAAAGTGCCAGAAAAGACAAGAGGGCCTCTGTAGAGAAGCTTGCTGGAGAAGCTGACGGGCTGCAGCAAGAGGTGAGATGAATGTTGGGTCCAATATCACCAAACAACTTACTAGTAAAATAACAAACCAGTCCATGCCTGTTAAAGACAAAAATGGAAACAACCTCACTACCGACCAAGAAAAAGCTGTGAGATGGGTAAAATACTTCCATTAAGCACTCAACCACCCAGAGCCAGATGACACTGGTAATCCCCCTGCAACAGGTGACATTATTGATATCGATACTGGTCCCTAAACTGAGGCAGAGGTTAGGCTCTCCATCAAAACCATGAAAAATGGTATTGATTCCATCCATGCTGAAATGCTTATAAGCTAACCTTGATACCTCATGCAAGGTTCTCACAGACCTCTTTAGAAATATCTGGGAACAACTGACTATCCTAGATGACTGGAATAAAGGCCTCATTGTGAAACTCCCCAAGAAGGGCAATCTTCAGAGCTGCGACAACTGTTGCAGCATCTCACATGCTTAGTTCCATCAAAAGTTTTCTGTAGAGTTTTTCTATACAGAATTGATCAAACAAATGACTTTTAACTTTTAAGAACAAGCAGGATTCAGAAGTGGAAGAGGGTGCACAGATTAGATCTTTAATCTGAGAAGCATCATCGAAACAAAGCATTGAGTGACACCCTATGGAAAATCATGCTATCCTACGGAGTTCCACCAAAAATGGTCATGCTGATGAGGCTGTTCCACAGGAAAATCGAATTCAGCATCACTGCAGACGGACACCTGTCAGAATGGTTCCCTGTGAAGTCTGGTGTGTGGCAGGGCTGTATCATCTCTCCGATCCTCTTCCTGGTCGCCATCGAATGGATAATGCAGAAATCAGCAGACAAACCCAGAGGCACCCCCTTCTCACAGCTTGAAGACCTTGACTTTGCAGATGACCTTGCTGTAGGTTTCTACAAAATTCAAACATCTCCAAGAAAAGACTGACAGACTGAATAGCTTCGCCCATGCAGGTGGGCCTGAACATCAACCCATACAAGACCAAAGGTCAATAACAAATCATTGGAATGTGTCAACAATTTCACATACCTAGGAAGCCTCGTTAGCAAGGATAATGCAGCACAAAAAGACATACAAGTAAGGCTCAAAAAAGCTAGAGAGGCTTTCGTCACACTAAACAGTCTGGAAATCTAGGCAATACAGCACCACAACAAAGCCACGTCTGTACTACAGCTTTGTCAAACCAGTCCAGCTGTACGGCTCAGAATGCTGGTGAGTTACTAAGAGTGACCTGAACAAGATCAGCACCTTCCACAATATATGTCATATATTCTGGCCTATGAAGATCACCTATGAAAAACTGTACAAGAGAACAAAGAGCCATAGCGGTCATTGAGATCAAGCAACATCGGGTCCTCAGAATGGACCAGGACTGAATTTCAAAGACTGCCCTGAGATGGTCATCACCTGGCAGAAGAAAACAAGGGCAACTAAAAGCAACATGGAGACATACAGTTATGACAGAACTAAAGGTCTAAGGCACAGTAGGCTGCAAACAATCAAGCCAAGTGGAAATAAATCATTGTTGCCTTATGTCCAACTAGGGACGAAGAGGAGTAAGTAAGCTGCATAACAGCCTACTCCTTATATTGTGATTAAGAATTAGTTTTATTTTGTCTGGGCTTATGTAAAAAAAATCTATATCTACATAGATATATATATATATATATATGTACAATTGTGCAAATATTGTTGATTCTTCTGATTAATTGCTTGCAATGTTCCTGATTTGTAAATTACTTCTGGGATAAACTCATCTACTGAGTGACTAAATGTAAATAAGCGATGACAAGCTTTACAGCCTGTTTTTTATGCAGAACTATTGTAGAGCTTCAAAAGACTTGAAATATATGTATATACACACACACCGATGAGCCATTACATTATGACCACCTATCTAATAACTTGCAGGACTTCCTTTAGCCAACAAAACAGTGGCCACATGACAAGGTATTAATTCGACAAGGTGGCGATAGGTCTCCAAGGGTATTTAGTACCCTAATGTCAACAGCAGGCTCTCCAGTTCCTGTACATTGCGGAGTGTTGGTGATGTAGCGCGAACCCGCTTTTCCAATTTGAACTACGAATGTTTGACTGGGTGAATTTGGAGGCCAAGGCATTAACAGAAAATCACCATCATGTCCCTTGAACCACTCGTTGACGATTCTGGCAGTGTGGCATGGTGCATTATCCTTATGGTAATGGCCATCACTGGCAGGGAACACAGTTGCCATGCATAGGTGCACTTGGTCCTCAACGATGTTCAGATACCTGACAGCTGTAAAGGATTGTGCTATTGGGATAATGGAGCCTAAAGTGTCCCAAGAACACATCTCACAGCATAACCGGC